TTTCGGTAAACACTTAGGTGGTTTATGTAACACTAGCAGGGTCAGATATGTAAGTTAAATCCATGCCCACAGCTACATATTGACAAGAATGAATAGTTATTTATGCAACATAATAGATTCTGGGAGAATAATGAAGTCCTTCAAGATTTTCACTAGTTACAAGACTACAGACTAATAGCCAAGTCTAATCCAGATTACCATATTGTTCAGGGTGATTTATTAAATTTGTGTTCTTATCTTCTACAGACTGCCATCTACCTGATGGTAAAAGTAGTAGTTCACAAGGAAACATCACTATACTAGTCCTTCCTGAACTTTCCTAGTCGAAGACTAGTGGATTTATGTTAATTTCAAACCCTGTTGTTAGCAGACTTACATAAAGTCTATGAAATGAAAATATTTTGGTTAAATTGTACACTACGCCATTTAATTACATTACCGGACCCTCATATTGCCTGCAAGGACCCTTAACATTAATTATTGGGGGTCCTCTGGACCTACACTTTTCGTAAGTCAAGGTAAAACCCTGGTCATGGATGACACTGTAGGTGGCACTTCAGTACAGAAGCCAGCGCTACAATCAAACATCTCTGGTCAACTGTGAATGGACTTGTGATAACGTCATTTGTAAATTGGAGTAAGTATGGTTTTTCACAGTTCTCAGCAACGTTCCAATAATATCACAGCGTGGGACACCAAAAATGAGCTTCACACATTGTACCAATGGATTAAATCAACCCCAGGACTTTGGTTAACGAGCGAACCCTTTAAGCACCAGACTGTCCCTCCACCCACTTGTAAATATCAAGAGAGGCTGGAATTGTCTTATGGATCTTACATATGCTACATAATATGACAAAGGGATTTGGGCAAATAAGGAAAGCTTTATCAACATAAATGACAATTAATTAGTTAGTTCTAAAAAATACACTGGCTGACAAACTAAAACCACGAAAATGGAAAGAATGACAAAAACAGCTAAACAAGTCATTATGTTGTATTTCATAATACTCAAACTTCACTATTTACAAATACTAATCATGTCTCAAACTGAAGCAATTCATGAATAATTAATTTACTTTTGATCATGATAACTAATTTTTTTAAAATAAACTCATTAACAATTTAACAATTGTTATCTTAAAGAGCAAAAGTTATCAGCCCTTATTCTAAGAAAATGAAGATAAATTCTCAGATGATTGATAGTTTCTTTCTGTTTTCTGCATCTTGATATGAGTTTCATCATCTTTGAAAAGCTCATTACTAAACATCATCCCTCTGTCAATAACAGTAAGTCCCAGCACATGCTACAAAACATCATCTTTCTGTCAATAACACTATGTCCTAGAACATGTTACAAAACATCACCTCTCTGTCAATAACAGTAAGTCCTAGTACATGTTACAAAACATCATCTCTCTGACAATAACAGTAAGTCCTTGTACATGCTACAAAACATCATCTCTTTGTCAATATCAGTAAGTCCTAGTACATGTTACAAAACATCATCTCTCTGACAATAAAATTACGTCCTAGGACATGTTACAAAACATCACCTTTCTGTCAATAACAGTAAGTCCTAGTACATGTTACAAAACATCATCTCTCTGTCAATAACAGTAAGTCCTAGGACATGTTACAAAACATCATCTCTCTGTCAATAACAGTAAGTCCTAGTACATGTTACAAAACATCATCTCTCTGTCAATAACAGTAAGTCCTAGTACATGTTACAAAACATCATCTCTCTGTCAATAACAGTAAGTCCTAGGACATGTTACAAAACATCATCTCTCTGACAATAACAGTAAGTCCTAGTACATGTTACAAAACATCACCTCTCTGTCAATAACAGTAAGTCCTAGTACATGTTACAAAACATCATCCCTCTGTCAATATCAGTAAGTCCTTGTACATGCTACAAAACATCATCTCTCTGTCAATAACAGTAAGTCCTAGGACATGTTACAAAACATCATCTCTCTGTCAATAACAGTAAGTCATAGCACATGTTACAAAACATCATCCCTCTGTCAATAACAGTAAGTCATAGCACATGAATAATCCGGTTACACACTGCGACGAGCAAGACATTATATGGTCACGGTCTGGTGAATCCAGCGGGATCACGATAATACATTATTGATCACACGATGCAACACAAGAGCATCTGGTACAACTACCAGGACGTACTTGCTCACATCACGATACTTTCACATCAGCTTATTTATAACTGTACATTTGCCATAACGACTGGATTCACATGTAATAGTCAGTCACATATGCCGAGTCAGGGGTTTTGTGACCTCACATATGCTGATCCAAATTGATATTTGAAATCACGAATATGATTAATGCTGAATCAGCAACATTGCAGATCTATCAAAACACATTCCAATAGACTTGATAAAGGTTCACTAAACTTGACAAAGGTTAAAAGGGGACAAAGGCTCGGGTCCGAAGACAGTTGAAGTTTGATTCAAGTTATTCACAACCCAATTGCTTGTCTGTTAACTCACATTTGATGTGTATCAGTCTGACGGTTAATGATTGCTCTCATTACACAGAGACAATGCCTCAGTTTCACACATGGAACTAAAACCGTTTTCATGTGGACTGGGCATCAGACCATATAACACAGTTCAGAGATATATCTCCTTACAGATAGAATTGGGGGCAAATTGCTAAACTGTAAACTTTAGGTTACTTTAGTTTGTGTTTATTTTTCAAAAACTAACCATCAACGAGTAACAAGTTACAATGTTCTAGATAACGTCAGCCTTGCCTTTTGAAAGAGATTACTGTAGCCACCATGTCAAGCATCAACCAGTGACAACTGGCAGGATTAAATAAATGAGACCCTAGGTAGAACTCAAACAATGATATTTATTCAGATATTGTCAAACTCAAGTGAGGAATTGTTTGGTCTTAGGAAAAGCAAATGTCAAATAAAAGGAAATGGGTATCTAAGGATGCTGCTGTATTGAATGTTGTTCTGTTGTGGTCCTGAATACTCTCTCTAAAACTATATATAGATAAGGCTTAGCATCCTATCATCACATTCAAAGTCAAATACGCTTAGCCAATGGGTATAGGAATAGATGTGGCTCCCCATTGACGTAGAACCAACCTGAGTGCTAACGTCTGGGTGTCAGGAATACAGGTAAAGTGGAAGTGTGTCACTCAACTCCTAATGTTCGATAATCGTGAGGTGGTCAGCACCTAGTGTTTATTTTATCCCCCTACATCTGAGAAAGTCACAAAAGCTTAACGGCCGCTGTTGACCAAACAATATTTGCGTGCCACACACAGGTTAGGTTGGGTGAGTACACAAAAACCAGAGGGCTTAATCCTTGGTCAGCAAACTCGCATCCCTAACTGAAATCCCACCAGACCCAGATATGTAACATGAGGTTAGTTCACTTTATTGAGGGACACTTGTTGTCAGAAACACAATTATCTAGGTCCGTTACCAATACCAATGAACTTATATCATATACATGTACACAGATTATGGTAAATACGGTCTGGTTTCTAACAATTAGGCAAATCCAGTGTTTCTAGATCTTGATGTAGATATGATAAAATTGTCACACTGTCCATAGTGAGCACTTTCACAGCAATATCAGGCTTGAGTTCTTAGATAAGCTGGGGAAGTCATGGATCCTTGTCATGAGGTCAATGTCAAACGATAGGCTTACAGATCATTTCAATACATAACAAATACTATTGCCAATATATCTCAAGGACCAAGTGTCTCCATTTCAAATTGCTAAACTGATTGGTTCTGGAGCGGCCGCATCAGTGGATGGTGTGGACATCATGAACACAGTATGTTGGGATACCAGGACACAATCATAAGGGTCATGGCTGGTTTGTGTGGTCACCCATTGAAGTATTATACAATGGCATGGTCCATACAAAATTTCAGCCATCAAAAAAGGCCTTTGTAAGACCCTTTAAAGGTGATGATCACATTTTCATTGTTACAAGTAAGACCAAGTGTGCTTTCAAACAGCTTTTAAGGAAATTCTTACTTTCCATTGTCAGTATGGCTCTAACCATATATTCAATTTCACTATTAACCAGTGTTTCAATATTATTTATCATTCTGTCCTAGAATACAGGTATTATTACTCCTGTTTTGAGAATCTTAGACTTGGGAATTGGGAAACCAAAGCCGAAATAGTTTGTCATGGATCCTTTCCATCAGTTTAGTTAGTTTGTCTGTTGTTTAATGCCTCACTCAGCAATATTCCAGCCATATAATGGCGGTCTGTAAATAATCAAGTCTGGACCAGACAATTCAGTGATCCATATCATGAGCAATGATCCACACGGTTGGGATATGATGACATGCATCATCTGAGTTTGTGAGTCCGACCACCCAATCCCGTTAGTTGCCTCTTACGACAAGCATAATTGCCATTTACGGTAAGCATGGGTTGCTGAAGACCTATTCTACACGGGTAAGTTTAGTTAAGTAAAATGCATAACTGAACTTAATGTTTACATGTCATACAGTATTGCATTCTCATATGTCTGATTATGTGTCGTATCATAATCTTGGTAATCTGATCATGCACACTTGATACTTCTCGTACAAATAAGGAAGTTTTTCAATAGGTTTTTATTTCCACTAAATAAATCATCATGGAGGACACGAAACACGTAGCAAATATTAATAATTAGAAACAGTTTCATACACCACCCCACCCCACCTCAACAAGCACCCACCCCTCACACACACACACACACACACACACATTATGCAGACAAGATAGAGGAAATACTGTTACGAAAAAGCCTTCAACATTTTGCAATTTACTCAAATTACTGTAGTCCAATCGCCACACAGAATCCATCATTTATGAAACCATTTGGGGATTCGACCTACAGACTTTCAAACACATGACACCTTGCTCTGCGAAATGGAATGAAAAGAATGTCTTATATTGTTATTTCACTATGAAGAAAGGACTCAAGTATGACAGACTTACATTAGGTCTGGTCGGAACTTGTGTATGAGTGCACAGAAGGCCAGGCCACTCTTCCAAGACTTGGTCATGTCGACGACGTTCACGTCCCGGTATCCCTCAACCCGGCGCTGACACCACATCTGCAGCCCCTTCACCTTCGTCATCGCCATGGCTGACTGCGCTGTTGGCCCTTAAACTCTAGTGGTCAGTCAGCTAGCAAAGAAAATTGAAAGACAGTGAGTCATGTATTCCTCATCTTTGAAAAACTCTAATCAAACAGCCGAGTTTGAACTTAAAGGGGTCCTGAGGTCCTTACGGTTTGCTGCTGTGGTATTTGAATTTAGGGACCTCAAAATTCTTCAATTTGTAACATTAGGATTATGACAAGGCCCCCTTGATTTCCAGGCTTAATTTCCAAAGCTGACTCAGGCCTAAAAAGTCATTATGGCTCCCGTGGCAAGAAAAAAAATTCTTCTTTTCCTTAGTCTAGAAATCTGTTTCCATGGTTACCCATAAAATGAACATTCAGAAATTGACATTTAAGAAGTTTGTCCTACTAGACTAATGCTTAGTACAATAAAACAGACAGACATATTTTATTTAAGTCAATGACATGAAACACAAAGTAAAATAATGAAATATACAGTCAAGAGCCAGTTCTGCACATAGATACGAGAGACTTAAAACAAAAGTACATACATTTGATGTATAAATGCCAATTAAAAAAGGAACAAAACGTGAAAGACCCATTAAAACCCATGATATAGAACATCATATCATTGTTTTAAAATATGACAAGATAGTTGACATACTTGATTAACTGTCTTTGTTGTGACTGACTCAATGTATGCAAAATTAAAGCTTATTCCTTTTTTATGACCATTTACAAAGGAGATTGACAGGAGTTTACTGAAAAAACTGACATAAACAATTAGCACATATGAATCTCTTCTAGACTGACTCTCATTGACTGGCTATCAGGCTCCTCATTACATCTCAGACTGTAAATTAAGCATATTAAGTGAGTAACGATAAAGCTATCTCCAATGTTTTGTTCATTAACCTGGGTTTTAACAGTATACAAAAGAGTATCACTGACAATTCACTTGCAGCATTCACATAAGAAAAACGCATTGAACATTTGAGATCATGTTAGGAATATAAGGAAATAAAAAACATGATACAGGAAGTTTCAATGCGGACACCAAATCTAATATTTTGCCCCATCACATTATAATAAAATTGTCATCTCTTGTGTCACTTTCAAGTTTGACACACGATGCATGCGGCCATGCATGCAGACTCCCTCCAACCATGTGACTCATCACACAATTCAACATGGGGGTGATTGGGTTTCTCCCATACCTCAGACCTTGTCCTCCTCCCCGCTCGCTCGTTGTCAGAGTACAGTGAATGCAAATACACTTGATAGCTAATTACCTTGTCTTACATCACTACCCAAGGCAGTGCTTCATGGCATATATGAATGATGTCAATCACAATCACCATCAAGGATCAATACACGTAAATCAGTGCTAAAATGGCAATATTTTGTAAAGGTATTTTGTACCTTTGTAAAAAAGTATTTGTACAAATTATGAATGGACACATTTTTTTAAATGATTTAAATTATCGACTGAACAAGAGATTAAAAAAAGGGTCACTAGGCTCAAGAGAACTGGCAGTCCTATCAAGCTTGATTGAAGCCACAAAAGCTCCACTTTGTATGCTAACTTAAATGTTATACTTTATATCAATCTAGCAGTTAATGATTACAGTACCCTAATTATCCAGAGATAATGTCTCAATCATTAAATGAAAAGGCTTCAGATCATGGAGAAAAGTCCCTCTTTAAAAGTAAATATTTTAACAAATGACCGATACTCGCATTAATGATGATTATTGCAGGTATAATGTTACGAGTTTACTCAAACTATTCAAATCAAAATTCATCTTAAACAATCAGCAAATACCATCAGATTTTAACCAAAAGCACTACAACTCCCCTCATCACTAAGCTGTGTGATCATTGCCTAACCCTTGACATGAAACCTGTACCAAAACAGACATGCTGCTATTGCAGAGAAACCAAAATTTCTTGGAATTCATACATACAATATATCATGAATATTTCAATATCTTAAACATGGATCAAATCAAATAGAAACAAGATAATTAAACCTAATCCAAATGTCGCAGTAATTGTCAGCAAATTCAACTCACTTGTTCATCAAGCCGGCCAGGCACATCATGTAAATACGTCTTACACAAGGCCTGCCACGGAAGTGTAATCCCGAGACTAGATACACAGCCCTCGAAGTATGGTGATTCAACTGCTGTTTACCATGGTCTGATAACCGATGATATAGCTATCGAGGTGACGAACTGGGAGGCCTACGTACTGTGAGGCTGGAGAGGACCTGCTCTCTGACCTGACCTCTAGATATTAGCCACTGCTTGGCTCCTAGCCCTGAGTGATAGATTATACAGGTGACAGATGTAACCATATCATGTAGGAAGTTGAATTGACGTACTATCACAGATATTTAATATATGGTATGACCCAACTTGCCATCAGGTCAGACAGGGTTATCTGAAAAAATTACTTTCTGATTATGTTCATATTTTAAAATTTAATACTTTGTATATCAAAACAAGATTTGTCATTGATATCTTACATGAAAGATAAGTACGTCATTGGAATATATAGGTTGGACACGAAATGAGGTTTGAATATTGATTTGTCTAAAGACATCTCCATTGACATTTATAATCTTCAGCAGAAGATTTGCATTCTAAAATGGTAAAAGCGTTGTCTATGTTGATAAAAACGGTAAACAGAACTTGTAACATGATTTTCATAAGATGAGTTGGATTATGTAAATATATGTATCAAGCAACAATCATGGTAATATGAGGTATAATATGTTTATTATGTTTTTGAATAGGATAATCATTTCTACAAGAAAAAAACAATTGAGAATCATTCATAAACATCATAAACAAATACCCTCAGCAGGGTTTTACCTTGACAAAAGTGGGGCTAATATATCTTAAGGGTCCTTGCAGGCAAAACAAAGTCCTGTAAAGTAATGAAATGGTGTTGTGTACTGTACGTTTAGATAATTACTTTTGAGCCTGGAATAAATCTAGGATCATCTGGACAATGGTCATCATTGATGGATGAAATGACAGACACTTGATGTGCCAAAGCTACAATGAATATTATTGTGCATGCCTCGGGATGCAGTTTATACTTTTTCTGCGTGCAGTCCTGTGTACATTTGTGTGTACTGCCTCAGAATTACAATTAATTTATTTTTAGATGCGATATTTTTTTAAGAGGCTTAATATATAAATTTGTTAAGCTATAACAAAATAGAATGTTGGACAGGAAACATAGCAACCACTTTAAGGTCGGTTTCAGATCCCATACATATGCAACACCAAGTATTGCAGGCACATGCTTTTCAATGTATACAATCGAGTCAATCTTGTTAATCAAACTAGTTCCAAAGGCAAAACTTCCAAGTATTTCCTTCCTAACTTTGGTGAACAGTGGAGTATGGTTGTAATATGTCCAAACAATCCAGTCCAACACATGTCACCTGTAGATGAAATAGCTTCCAGATATATAGCAACGCTTTCCTTGCTAATGGTCATTGTTAACATGGAAACAAGGTCCTATTTTCAATTTATAACGGTTGACATTTCCAGTGTGCATGATTCACAGGTTGAATGTGGTTACAAGCCAATGAATGAATTTGAAACCTAACATCTTTTGACAAATATTTTTTAACAGTCAATCATCATTATGAAATCAATATTAAACTTTGAGATTTGTCATTGTTTAATAATATAGAAAAATGTCTGAAATATTTGTTTCACTAATTACAAAAAGCGGCTGGTGACAACTGTTCATTGTTTACACAATTCCTTTTTTTATCACTACGGTCTTTGAAAAATAAAAACTTTTATTTAGAAAAATATGCTGAATACACAGAATGCTGTTTCATGACATAGATCTAATCAAAAATAATGTTTTGATTTCCGAAAAAAAAAGCCCATGAATGTTATATAAATTGGAAAGTGATGAAGAGTTATGAAAAACATATATTTCATTCAAAAAATCATAAAATGTTTCAAAAGACTTTTCTTTTTCAATATAAAAAATAAATAAAATAGAATCTATAGAGTCTAGATCTTTATATAATTTCCAAAAATAAATTACCTATATGATTTAACTTATGAATAGTGGAACTATTCTAAATTTGTCAAAGTTAAAATCCATCCAGGTCACAATTCCAATAACATATATTATTTTGAATTTTTAAATAAATAAAAAAACACCGAAAAATGAGTATTCATTTTGATTATCTAATGCCATAGATTCCCCAAGTTATTCCGACACATGCGACTGTTTCCAATAGCTACCATAAGTGTTATTACATCAACAATATTTTCATCGAGCCAGCTGACACATTTGAAAGAACCACCTGTTTATTAGATCAACCTTGATCACTGATGACGTCCACAGGTACACAATTTCGCGGGTAAATCAAGTAAGCGACAAATATACTGATGAAACGCAAACAGCAATACACATCTCAAATATCAGATCCAATAAACAACTTACTTTCATTACACATCCCCTTAATCAGTGTTATTCCTTCCGCGGCAACTTGTCGGCTCTCATGGTTATCCCTCTCATTTCATTAGCCGACCACAGTGTACAAGTAACAGCGGAAACGGAAATCGCGCAGAAATATGCGCGCACGCGGACGGAAGTATGGCGGCAAAACCAAAACAAACTTTCTGAATGTGTCAACAAACTTACCGATTTATGATAAAGAAATAGAAATCAAAAGATCCAACCATGGCACATCGTAAGTTTTCGAAAGAGGAATGAATATGACAGTTATTGTTTTTGTCGGTTCGTCTGATTATAAATTATCGACGATGTCATATCCATGAAATTCACACATGATGTCCAAAAGACTGTAAAAGCACGTTTGGACCACAAATAGTGGCAATTGTATCTGTATTATGAAATATGTATGTGATAGGTTTCGGGAAATTAACAATAGATGCTACAAAAACCATGGAATATGTGTTATTTTGCAGCGTTTGGACTGAATGTGTGTTTGTATTTTGACAAACATGTTTAGAC